ATGAGCCGTGTACATAGTTCAGGACACCTACAGGATAGTTCGTTGCACTGAGACAATTACTTGATAGCCTAAGTGTGGCAGATGTCGGTTATGAATACGACCTATCACTGAACTATATGACTGAGATACGTTGCTTTTGAAAGTATACAAAATTATGTGTTGGTATTTTATTCTATCTCCCCAATGATAGTGGAAGATATTATAAATACAATATGTTGATGTCTTAATTCTTTTACTACCTTCTGTACTTCTTAGTTAGGATCAATGATTAGAGATTCACAACTTGAGACATATGGTATATACATGAGGGTTTTCTTGTTTGGATTATTTCACTCGACGTACCAGTCTCGTGTTGTAGATTCCTAAGTGTTGATTTTATTATATTGTCTTTTCTTAGTTCGGTGTTAATGTTTAGGTGTTTACAATTTGAGACATATGGTATATACATGAGGGTTTCCTTGTTTGGATTATTTTGCTCGACGTACTATGTCTCGTCTTGTAGGTGTCTAAATATTAACTCCATTAGATACGGAAAAAATAAATCTAGGTAGAGTATGCTTAATAGATAGAGCCTCCACTCCATCTAGCAGCCCTTCCCCTGAGGCGGATGGAGGTGATCTTGCTGTAGCACTCTGACGCTCTTTATGTGGTTCTTTTTGTTACTTTCTCTTCTTTCAGATGGTACAAAGGTACGAAGAGCCGCAGGATAACGAAGTTCTTACATAGTCGGCGTTACATGAGTTTTTAGAGGCTCCACAGTAGATTTTATGTTTTATTCAGACATTAGAGTTTTATTCTTATTTTGTAAAGGCAGTGTGCCATAGTACGATTCTAGTTGATTTATGTTGACATTCTCATTATTTTGGTTGTCAGATGTATGGCTGTTGAGACATGATTCTTTTTATTTATGAGATATATTTTCTATATCATGTCTATTATATTTATACCCTTATTTTTTATGTTTTGTACCTCCACTCCTATTTGATTACACTAGAGGATATTGCTGTGATTGGTGAAACGTGTTTATGCATAGTGTGGGTGCATGGCAGGTTTAACATCTCTGGGTTCACCTTGGACTACAGTCTCGTATGAAACCAGGGGCATCACAGAATATACATGAAGAGTGGTAAGGCCAGATGAGCTTGTCGTGGCTAGCAGAGCCAGATGTAGTGAATGGAGCTAGAAGGTTGAGAAGAGCAGATATTTCATTCCTAATGTCCTGGGAGGTTCCTCTTCTTAAAATTGGGTGCCACTGCTAAGCATTAGAAATCCTGGAACCTTGTGAAAGAGTAGAGCAACTCTTTGAGAAAGCAAGGAGATGAACTCTAGGAAAAAGGCTGCTGAGGGAGTTTGCACCTGTCCACTTATCATGCCAGAAATAACAAGTTTTGTCATCCCCTACATTCCATCTAACGTGACTAAAGAAAGGAGGACAAATTTGTTGGCATATTTGTTTTGATGATGATTTACAAACAATCCTTAATATTGTTTGTATAGTGTTTGTGTTTTCTTATTAGGTATTCTAGACAAACAATAAGTCAGAGGTTGGATGTAATTGAGCTAAACGATCACATCAAATAGAGGTTTGCGAAATATCGGTATGAAGTCATTGCACATCAAGTCATATTCAAGATCAAGCTTCATCTGCAACCAAGTCAAACATATTGAAGATCTCATAGCTTGGGTATAATGTTTTAAGTTTATATTATGTGTGTTGATACTTTAAGCTCAATCATATACACACATACACGTATTTGGTTTATATATATATATATATATATATATATATATAGACACACACACACACACACACACACAAATTTTGGTTTTTGGTTTTTGGTTTTTAAGTTTAAATATGAAACAAATAAATATAATAAGAAAATACATACTTGTCTCATGTTTATATGCTTATATATGATTTCATTCATACCAAGTTGATTTAGTTCAATGAAATCATGTTTATTATTTTTAAAGTTTCAAAACATGTGTATTTTTGTTAAAAATATTATATTCATGGTTTATGGACTTAATAACAATATGTTATATCTTTTACCAAGTCTATATAATCATTTCATAAAGTTTCAAACTTTGTTTAAGTCAAAATGTCAAATTTCAAGTATGTTTAGTTTTCATGTTTTGGACTATTTTGCAAAATGATGAGTTTTCACAATTGAGAAGTGTAATTCCAAAAATTCTTTTTGTACCATGTTCATTTTCATGTTTACAAGTATTCCCCAAAGTTTTATATTTTTTTAAAATTTATTTACTATTTTTTTAAAAGATTTAAAGTTCTGTTTTACTGTTTATTTCAAGCTGATATTATGTTATCAGTCGACTGATGCAAGTGTTCGGTCGACTGAAGAAATCGTCTGGAATTACAAAAAATTTTTGTTTTTTATTTAGTCAATTGATCAGTCGACTGATGAGATCTTCAATCGACTGATATGCTGTGAGTTGCCTGTAACGGACAGCTCATCAGTCGACTATATTTTAGTTTTCCTTATTTTATCTTTTTGCTTAGTTTTTCTTGATTTTTGGGCTTTGTCTTATGATCTTGTATATACCCATTGCCCTCTAACATTCAGATGAAATCAAGAAGTGTTTAAAACAAGTTTACAAGAGTTTAAAGTTTTTTTAAAAGTTTGTTTGAGTTGCAAGTTTGTGAAGAAATTTTCACAAGAGCTAGAAGAGATCACCCTTTGGTGTTTGAGCTTCAACTCATCTCTCTCTCTCTCTCTCTCTCTCTCTCTCTCTCTCTTGATCTATAGAGAAGTTTTCCTTAAACTCAATTCTAGCTATTTATTATTTTGATCTTAATTTCCATAAGTTAGATTTCATATTGAGTTTAGTTGTATTTATTGATACTCTTTGTTACACACACCCACATTGAGCTTTTAGTATTTTTATACATAGTATATTTAGGGTTGTGAGATTGTAACATTGAGTTGGGCTTCATTGAGTTCTCATCCATTGTAGAGAACAAATTATTTGTATTTGAGCTTTCATTTGTGAGGTCACATTGTATTGCACAAGTACACCAAGAGGAGTGTAGAGGTGAGATATGTGATCGGTCCCAAGAGGAGTGGGGTCGGTGGTAATGCCTAGAGGTAGGTTGTAATTCCGAGCACTTGAGGGAGACACGTGATAGGCCAACACTTGAGGTAGGATTTGTGTAGTTGCATTATGAGTGATTGTGAACGTTGATCGGTGAGTGTTGAAAACCGACGTTGTGATGTGTAAACGTTATTCAGGTGAGCGTCGAAAACATGGGTGTGATAGTGGATTTCTCCCCGAGAGTGGGGAGCGGAGATGTAGGACGGAAGGTCCGAACTCCGTGATCATTTCTTGTGTGTTTGAGTTTGGCTTGTACGCTTATATTTTGTTTATCTCTATTGTCTTTCTCTCATTGTCTAATTTATCTACTATATTGTTTGTATTTGTTTATAGTTTACTTACCCTTGTTTGTATATCCTTGCATATATATCTTGTTGCATATCTAATTTGCTAGGATATTAGTTAATTAGTTTTAATTAGCATTAAATCGGATTAGATTAGCATTAACCATATTCCCTCCTCCTCTATACGTTGCTTTCAAAATTGAATGCAAATCATGAATGAATTTGGAGGCTAAACCCTTGGGGGGGAAGGGGAAGACAATAGGATTGGATTGATCTTTTGAATACTGGGAGAAGATAACTTTACTGACAAAGGAGTTTTTATCCATGATTTTCCAAATCCACTTAGATAGGAGTGCTATGTTAAAGGAAGAAATATCTTTGACCCCAATACCACCTTCTTTCTTTGCTTTACAGACAGTTCCCTAGTTAATAAGGCACTTAACCTTAGATGGTTGAATATGACCACTTCATAGGAAATTTCTTCTGATTCTGTCTATTGCTTTAATGAGCCAAACAGGTAATTTGAGGAAAGACATATAGTATAAGGGGAGAGGAGAGAACTGAGTTAAGCAATGTAAGTCTTCCACCACATGACCGTATCTTCAAAACATATAACGTCACACAAATCTAACTAATTTTAAACTAGTAATTAACCATAGTTTATTCTTGTCATATCACTAAGTCTCTACCACATGCGTTTAAAATGGTCTACGAAACGACATGCGATGGTCATGTGATGCATTAATATAAAATTCTTCATCAATTTCGAGCATTCATTCCTTACTGCTAGTGGAAGTTCAATATTAATACCATAATGCTGCTGGAGAAACTTAGAATATCTCCGCAAATGTGTCATACTAGAAGTACAACTTGGTAATTTAGCACTTTAGGAACTTAGCTCTTGCTGTATTCAGGAGCTTTTACCATGACATCGCATAGCACTTGCACCTTTTCATCATGTTATTTACCAAACTAAAGTTGACATTCTCAAGATCAGAGTGAGAGATATTCAGATGGCACAAAACAAAACCTTAAATTAGTTAGTTCTTGATGGGCTCATTTTATTTATTTCTACCTTTTATACATCAAGATTCTAGAGTTTCTTTCATGATATCATAGATTCATAGATTTGTTTTATGATATCATAGATCCATAAATTGAGCGAAGACCTTATAGTCGTCTTGGGAGATTTCCGAAAACACGTATGATATGTTCCAGAGTAACCACAACTTGCACCCACTTCCTTGTTTCTTACGCAAGACGCAGAACCAAAACCTGCAAATAAAATAGTTATATTAAGGCATGTGTGCTTTTTTTTATTTCTTTTATTTTTATTTATTTATTATTTTTGGGTTTGGAGGGTTGACTAGAACTCGGAGGAAAGAGGATCCTCCCCCACAGCAAAATTAAGGCATTTTGACTTCCCGATGCGGTCCACTATCAGATTAAACACATGTAATCCTCAGATAAAGAAAGGTTCCTTGCTCAATTCTTGCACAAAAGACAGACCTTGCTAAAGAGAATCTCAGAGCAGACTCAATTAGTAACGGTCAAACATTCTTCAAAAGAGTTAACTAACAAACAACGCCAGGCACTGAGGGATGGCAAGAAACACAATCATGTACCACTGTAATTGCAGTCTTGCAGATCACCGAACAGTTTCAGTACAATAAATGAGCACTTGAGCAGCAAGAAAATGAATCAACTAGACACTACATCCTTCCCAGAGATAACCTCACAAAGGAATAGCTCAGTCAGGCTCTATCACGAATCAAAGGCAGAAACAATGCAACTCCCTTGTGGTCAAAACAAAACAAAAATAATCACTGAAATCATAACAGGTATCTATGTCAAATGATAAGAACAAACAATAGGTTTACGTGGTCATTTAATACAGGATGGTGTAGCGTATTCTGTCCCTGGGAAGCCTGTTGGAAACGGCAGTAGGATGCTCATCCTGCTGCGTCTTTGCTGCCTCCCAACTGTGTGCTGAAGGTTCATGTTAAAAGCATTCATTGGATAATGAATAGCTTTTCACTATAAAAGAACTGTTGAGGCCGTGATGAAGCTTCTAGTAGTGACTAGTGCTTGAACTTCCCTTATAGGTAGCAAACAAGCTTGAATCAGAATCAGACTGCCATTTCTCCAGCTCCGAGGCGAGGCTCATACTTGAATCTTCTTCATATTGGAAGCTGGAGGGTACCCACTGGTCCACTAAGGGGCTCAGTACTTGGACTGCATACCCCATAGTAGGCCTCTGATTTGCCTCACGGGCGGTGCAGTGACATGCAAGCTCTGATACTTGAAGAATGCTTTCATATGCTTTCTCATCGAGAACAAGGGAAGAATCCACGATTGTTAAAAACTTTTCCTTGTTAATTATACGCCTTCGGAAGGCCACGACTAGATGACTATCTTCCTCTGCAAGTGACTCATCAAGAACCTTCCTCCCAGTTATTATCTCCATCAAGATCACACCAAATGCATAAACATCAACCTTTGTTGACACCTTCCCAGTAACTGTACAAAAACGAGAAAGAAAGGCTTAAAGTTTGTCGTAAAATAAAGTTGGGTACACTTGCCAGTATATATATAGCCATAAATTACTTGTGATGAATAAGTTAAGCAAACAATGAAAAATGTGGGCGATAAATTATGTCCTTTTACAATGCTACCTTTTTCTGTGCATCTTTGTCGTGCCCTTACAGTTGATCCTCACTCCCATATGCATATCAAATACACAACAAAATGAATGTAGACTAGAAGATTAAACCGAGACTCATGCAGTGAGATCTTTTTCTTTTAAAGCCAAACTTTAAATACATAGTACGTGGGATTTGAACCAAGGTTGCTCCAATACCATCTTAGAGTATGTTTAGGAACTCACTTATTTTAGCTTATAAGTGTCTTTTTCCTCAGAGGGGTTCAAGACCATGTTTGGTAAAATTTACTTGTTTACTTATTTTCTCCTTATAAGTAGGAAAAAAAATAAGTTGGGATTTTCCAACTTATTTTTGTGGTCCTTATAAGGAAGTTTACTTATTGTTTGACAAAGGAGTAATTTTCCCTCACAAATTAGGTTTACTTATAAGGAGATCCACTTATAAGGTCGCATAAAATAAGGTTTGTTTTGATCAAAAAAAAAAAAAAAGGTTTGTCAAACATGGCCGTAAGGTCCACTCCACTACATCAGAACTCCGAAGTTGTAGAAAGGGTAGATAATTGTGATTTCAAACCCTAATGAAAACAATTTTCACACAATACATGCAGAAAAAATGAAAAAAAAATTCTGTTGCAGATTAAGTAGCTTTCTTACTGTCACATTTTATACCTTTCTTGTCTGTCACTACTACACCCTTAAGTTTCTCACATTTTTATCCGTCTGGAAATGACATGCCTTCTTAAGATTAAGGATAAAAAAGATCAAATATTGAAGCTCTCAGTGAACTTTTAGATGGGTTAGTTGAACTTCGCTAATTCTGATTCCAAATATAGTAGCATGTATTTATTTCCTAATCTTAGAAAAGAAATTTTCATTGTTTTATACAAGTGAAACATAAACTGTCAATTCTCTAGTTATTCAATAGGACTCTAGCTAGGCATATATTTATAATTTTTATTTAAAAATATTAATCATATAAATGAGGGTCATAGACATGGAGTTTGCAAGTTGTGGGCAAAACATAACTATATGCAAATCGAAGCTTATTGGGCAGCTAGGTGGCAAATGAAACCACAAGTATCTTAAAGATGATAACAAAATAAAAGATCTTAAAGGAAATAACTATTATACACAGCAACACTTATTGTTTGAATAGATTTGAAGAAATAGTAAGAATTATACTTCCATAATTATCAATGTAAAAGTCGAATCTGACATTGTTGTTAATAATGTCATATAAACAAAAAGATTTAACAGATAATATTTGTGGGAAGCACATCGCTAGACTCAATGACATAGTGAAAGCTTGAAACTGAAGATAATTTTCAGGCCTATCCGAAACATAGGGAGTTTTAGAAGAATTGCTTCAGTGCATGTGTCCTTGTTCGTTTCACACCCGTCTCCTGTGTCTGTTTCCATGCTCCTTAGAGGATAACTTTGAATTATTGATAATCTCCATAATCATGTGTTTTTGGATCTTCAAATGAAGAAGATGATTGGTAGAGGTTATGAGCGTGATGACATTTAGTGTCTTTATTGTGATCATCATACTAGTATGATGATCACCGCCATTGCATCCATATATCTCCTCCACACTGACTCTTAAAATTTTAATAATTGCTATAACTAAATATGTACCTAAGTTGACTGAATCTCGTGTGAACTATGAAAACATCATAAATCATATAGGTACATATAATGAGTAAACATTGTAGTTCCCCATTAGAAGTTGATCATACTGATTTTGGGTCCTATCGGAGTGGAAACAAAATCTGCAATGATCGTGGATGATTACTTTAGAATGACATGATTCATTTTAATAAAAGAGCAATATGAAATTCTCCCAATTTTTAAACAAGTTCATAGTTGATTCAAGAAATTATGAATCAACTTGGATAATATATTCCGTTAAATTTAACATATTCCATTAAACTTTGAGGTATGATAATGCGTTGGTATATATGCAAGATAGAAGATATCTTTGTTGTTCATCTCATGGTATTATTCATCAAACATCCTACGATCACACAATATAGCAAATATTGCTACAAAATGCAAGAATCGTCGTATACGATATTGCTTCACATCATACTTCATATGCATGTTTTAAAAAAAACTTTTGGGATAATGTTGTTTTCACTTCATGCTAATTGATTGTCTGTTATCTTTGCTTTCAACAGTCAAACATCCTTTTCTAATATGCTTAAAGAAAAGTAGTTATTTGATTTGCCACCAAAAGTATTTAGGTGTATGTATGTTGCTCTTGACTTGAAAATATGACGCGACCAATTAAATTTAAAGAGTCATTAAAATGTTATGGGTGTGAAGCCCTAGGTGTGAAGCCTATTCTTTGGGTGTGAAGCCTGTGGGCGTGAGGCCCTTCTTTATCCTAACCCTCCAATTATAATACCTCTCAATCATAACCCACTCCACAAACATCTTACTATTTATCCACTTAAAAAGAATCCCTGTGATCTAACTCAAGTAAAAATCCTAAGGAAAAAACCCTAATATTCCCAAAAGGGGTTTCCTTGTCATCGCCTTCTCGACGCCGTCCAGATTGTCCTACTTGTTGTCCTCCGTTACTAAATAATTTTCCAATGAAAACATTCTTGTTACTCCAAAGTCATGTTTTGATCGAAGCCCTCTGCCTATTTTTAAATTAGAGTCAAAAGATCCACGATTAACAATGATAAATCACCACTACCTCCTCCACAATTGTATGATTTCAATGCACTAAAATTTGATATTCTAGCTTATTTTTATGGATTTGATGGATTTGAGTAGCCCTATGATTTTGAAGTCTCGATTCTCAACATAGAAAATATATATTCGATATTTGATATATCAGAACTAGAAATGTATTTATATGTTGTTAGGCACAAGAGAGAAGTTAAAAAATGGTGATAAAGAAATTATTATCATTTAACTATTCATTTGTGGAGCCATATGAAAGCTCTTCTGAAAAGGAGGTACTCTATCCACCATCTAAAAGATATTTTTTCTCTTCAAAATGTGAGGCAAAGCCAACACAAAAGCCTCAACTCCGGTCCAATGTCGACCTTTTATCAAAACTTGAGCTCAATCCAAAGCCTGAGCCTGAGCCTGAACTTGAGCCGAATGTAGACAAACAAAACAAGATCAAAAAGTTAATCTAGAGCATGAGCTTGAACTCAAGCGAGAAGCGGAACCAGAGGAGAATTTTGATTTAGAGCCCAAGCCTAAACTGCAACCTAAAGGAGAGCAAGAACTTGAACTCAAACAGGAAATCGTGCAAATATTGATCTAAAACCTAAGCTCGAATTAAGTCCAGATCCTGAAATCAAGTCAAGACTAGAAGCCAGAGGTAAGATCAATATGCAGTACAAACTCCCAATCCACGTTAATCTAATTGTTGACTTTATTATCCCAGACCCTCCATTGCCAACTCAATATCGGGTCATACAACTCATCTTGAGGATCCTGCAATCCACAATGAAAATTTTTTCACCAGGTAAGTTAATCATTACACTCTCCCATTATAGAACGTGAGGTTGAATTTTCTCTAGTAAGGAGAGATTTGATGCAGGACGATCGTGTGTCGTTGACCAAAAGATTTTAGGATTTACTAAGATCTCTTTTATTTAAACATTATATGATGTAATCTATATTTTTAGGTAAGATTTTCTTAGAATTTTATTTTAGTATCATTTAGGATCTTTGAAATTTTACTTTGTTTGGGATTTTATTTTGTTTCCTTTTAGTCATGATTTGATTAGGATTTGATTTAATTTCTAGATTTAATTTTTCTCTGTAAATAAAGTTGTAATCCTCCATGAGGAATTAGACCTTGATTAATAAAAAAATTTGAGTTTGACAAATTTCTTTAGGCATGTGACTTGCTTGTTTAGCATGTGAAGTGTCATGAGTGGAAGCCCTAGGTGTGAAGCCTATTCTTCGAGTGTTAAGCCCATGAGTGTGAGGTCCTTTATCCTAACCCTCCCATTATAATACACCTCAATCAAAACTCACTTCACAAACATCTTACCATTTATCCACTCCTCAAAAGAATCCCCGTCATCCGACTCAAGCAAAAGTCCCACGGAAAAAACCTAATATGCCTAAAAGGGGGTACAGTTCACAATTGAACAATAGTATCCATTACTGTTCATGGGTGAACAGTACATCACTGTTGTTCATCGAGTGGCAGGACGTATTTACTGTTTATCACCTCCTCAACGCCATCCAAATTGTCCTGCTTGTTCTCCTCCATTGTCAAGTAATTTTCCAACGAACGTTCTCGTCAGTCTAAGTCATGTCCAGATTAAAGTTGTCTGCCCATTCCCCATCAGATGGTATTGTAGAAATTGAAAAGGTTATCAATGTTAGAATCCTAGTACTTGAAGCATATAGTATATGCAAATGTTAATATGTTTGAAACTACATCATCTTCTCTCTCTCTCTAAACCATCAGAAACCAAGCTCATGGTTGCTCATATGCCTACATGAGAGGTACATAATATGTGAATGTTACTTTCCCTGAAACTACATCATATTCTCTCTCAAAACCATCTGAAATCAAGCCCATGGATTTTCATATGCCTATACCCATTGCCCCTGACATTACAAACCGATACAACTTAAGGTGTATCAACATCCAAAGGAGAGATGAGGTAAAAAACATACCAATCTCACCAACTATTTCTTCTACTAAGGACCACGATTTTCCTACAACACTTCAGAAAAGTATCATGTCTCACACTCCCAAAAGTCATTTACAAATTTGTTTCTTTTCTCATTTGTCTTTATTCTATTTTTGCTTCTACTTTATCAAATGCATCCATTCTAAGACATTATGAGGCATTATGAGTGGATGGAAAAGTAATATGGACGAGGAGATGGTTCATTTGGGTCAAAATGAAACAACAGGAGAACTAATTCGCCCTTGAGAAGCATGTTGTTGTTGTTGGATAGATACATTGAAATTTCTTCTACCAAACAAGTTGAAAATTTCCAGCCTCTTGTGGTTGCCAAATGGTATATTCAAATCTCTGGTATTGATTACTTAAAGACATTCTTTTGTGTGACTCGGTTAAACTTTTGTTGGGATTATCTTATCAGTAGCAATAGTAAAAACTAACCTTTAGATCTGTTAGATATTAAGAATACATTCGCTCATGGTGATCTTCAGAAAAAGGTTTACATAACTCAACCGCCGAGTTATGAGATTCAAGGGAAATTTCATAAAGTTTGTCAGCTCAAGAATGCTACATATGGTTTAAAGCAGTCTTCACAAGCATGGCTTCGACTAGTTCAATATTGTTCTTGCTTAATATGGCTTAAAGAGGAGTGTTTCCATTCACTCTTTATCTCTGTGTGGTGCTCTTTATGGTATTTTCAATCTTGTTATGTACTTACCACCTACTTTTATCATTGGTTATGATCAGGGTATTATTGCTTTGAATCAAACTTGAACACTCATTTTAATACGAAGAGTCTTGGTATTTTTGAGGTGTTTTCTGGGAATTGAGATCACATGGTGTAACGCCCCGCCCCGGAATCCCAGAGTCGGTACGCTATTAGATCTGATGGACTGACCTCACAAACCACCACATGTCTTTTCAGCACGTTTTGTCCTCACTCACACGCTCCCTGGAAAACTTCCCAGGGGGTCACCCATCCTAGAATTTCTCCAGGCCAAGCACGCTTAACTTTGGAGTTTCTAAGAGTTGGGTTCCCGAAAAGAAGATGCATCTTGATGGTATGAGTATTCCAATCAAATCTATCAATACTAATCACATCACCCTCTCAAGGGTTGGGGTATTACACATGGTCATCTAAAGATCTTTCTATTGCTGACTTACTGGCTAAGACAACTATGCTTAAGTTGAGGGCTACTTATACCAAGATGGAACTTACTACTCATTCTTATTGTGAGTTGGAGAATGTTCTGATTAATCCTGGAGGATATCATAGATTTTGGGAAGCTTTTTTATTTGCTAGTAACTTGTTCTAATATCACATATACTGTTAACCTTGTACATAGATATATATGCAAACCATACATCAATATTATTAGACTGAAGTCTATCATGTGCTTCAAAAGGGGCTCTGAACATGGGTTTCTTGTCGTCCCTCATTTCCCTGTTGATGTTGTTGGTTATTTCAATACTAAATGGACAGATGGTCCTCTTAGTCGCGGTTCTAGTAGTGACTACTGCACTTGCGATAAAGGAAATCTTGGGAGTTGGGACATTGAAATAAGACACAGTACACGGTCAAATGCTAAGATAAATATCATGCTAGGACTCATACTATTTACGAGAAAAATATGGGTTAAGTAAGCCTCTTCTTTCTGAGATGGGTGTGCTTCTATGTTGACTTATGGATATGCATTCTGATAGTCAAATTGCAATCTATGTTGCTATCAATCCGGGTTTTTCATGAGAGACACAAACATATAGAGCATTATTGTTGTGTTTGCGTAAGTGCCTAGGCACGAGGCGTTATGTCTGATGCTCAAAAGCGCTCAACACTTTATAAGCACTGGTAAGCAGTAAATCTAGGTTGTTGCAGACTTGCAGTATGTTTGTCTCTCAGCAAGTATACTAATTATTTGACACTTATGTAGGAAATTTCAGTTAAAGCCCAAGCAGGGGATGTGAACCAGGGAAAGCCTAACTAATATTCTTCAACTGAATTTGTCCTGCTTTTGAATGTAGGATAAATCCTATCAATGCATTTGCTATATTTAAAGCTGCTTGAAATTAATTGGGTCCGAGACACTACCTAGAAATATCCATACAGACTTATATATGGTTGAGCCCAACCCACACGGCATGTAACAAATATCAATCAGCAGAACCATGAGACACCAAAGAAATTCAATATGTGGTATATTCAGCTGAACAAGTTGTCAAATGGATTCACTATACCAGATTCACTTTAAATTAATTGGACCAATGACAAAATTGAATGGATTCATTACAGAAGATTCACTAAGTCTCCAGGTTGCCTGAGCCAAAACTGCTGTGAACTACTGCAAATTCTGATATCTAAGTTTCTAAGCATCCATCTTAGTGAATTTGTAGATACCCTCCTTCAGTAGGAAGAAGATAAGTTAAAGTGAATTAAGATTCAACTCCGTTTTTAACCTTAAAATCACTTTTTTGTAATCTTTCAATACCTTTCAAGTGAATGAATTTTCAATTTTCCATAAAGCACCACCTTTTATCATGAAATGAAAATGAAATTGGTGCAACCATGATAAATGAACCTAGCTGCAGAACATTCCTTGACTTTGAGCTTTTAAAGACTAAGAACGATATGGCGTTTTAACACTGAGAAGTGGGTTCATTGGGTGTCTACAGCAGTATTGTCTGACATATTCTTTTCAAAATGAAATGAAAAGAATTGCAGGTGTTTTTATCAGTGTTAAAAAGCAAAGAGTTAAAGTACTTACGAGCATACTCTGGAGCAAGATAACCGAATGTCCCAGCTAACCGAGTCATAACAGACTTTTCAGTGTCAGCAAGCTTGACCAACCCAAAATCAGATACTTTGGCTCTCAAATCCTTGCCCAGGAGTATGTTGGAAGGTTTCAGATCCCTGTGGATGAAACTCTCCTGTGCCAAGCTATGCAAATACTCTATCCCTCTAGCCACATCCAATGCTATTACGAGCCGCTGCCTCCAATTAAGAGCACAGTACTTGCCACAATCTCGGTCAAACAAGTGCTGCCCCAGTGTTCCTTCTGGCATATATTCATATACCAAAAGTTTTTCATTGTTATCTCTGCAGTACCCAAGAAAGCTCACCAGATGCCTATGGCGGGTCTTCTGAAGAACATGAACCTCAGCTTCAAACTCTGCAACCCCAGTTTTTTTACCCATCGATTCAGACTCACTCCTCTTAACTGCAATCTCAGTCCCATTAAGTTCACCTTTGTAGACCACACCGAATCCTCCCTGGCCTATAATGTTGGCCTCATTGAAATTGTCTGTAGCCTTGCGTATATCCTCAATAGGAATCGTACTTAGTACATCCTCACCACTGCCTTGGCTGAAAAGCTCATTCCGAGCTCCAGTGTTATTCCCATACCCATTTATGATTCCGATCTTAAGCTGGGTATCAGGAAGCTCCTTTGGCGGTCCAGCCCTTATGATCGGTTTGAATGGAGTGTTTTTCTTCCTACATTGAAGATAGTAAATAAGACCGCCCAAACATCCGACAATAACCACAACAACAATAACTATTCCCACAATGAGGCCAGATGAAGATCTGGATTTACCAGCAGACCCATCTCCAGAAGGAGACGATTTAGACCCACTCCCAACAGACTGCAGCGAACCAGGAGGTCCTGCGGTTCCAGGACTAGGTTCGGTTCCAATTCGAGGATTGCCCGATAGCTTCAGCGTCACAGATTTATCAAACCCAGGTACCTTTCCCCAGAGATCGTTGTTGGAAGCATCAAGAAGCTGTAAACTCTTTAGCCCCGTCAAAGAATCAGGAATAGGACCAGTCAGGTTGTTGTTGCTGAGTAAAAGCTTATTGAGCGAGGTGAGGTTGGCAATGTCGGGGGAGATGGTACCAACAAAATGCTGGTTAGCGAAATTGAGGACCAAGATCTCATTCCCCTGGGTATCACAGACGACGCCAGTCCAGGGCCCTGCACAGGGGTTGTTCCCTTTCCAACTTCTTGCCAGCGTGTCCGGATACCCAAAACCTGCAGCCACCGAGAGCAGCACGTTCACCCTCGAGTCACAGGGTGTCCCGGCCATGTCAGTGCAGAAGTTGTTACCCTTACTAACATCAGCATTGACGCCGCCAGGAAAAGCAGGAAAGGGGCCTTGGAAATTGTTGTTGGAGAGGGAAGCATTCTGCAGCGAGTGGGAGGACGTAAGCGAAGGGGGAACCACGCCGGTGAGCTGGTTGTCTCTCACATTGAAAGAGGAGAGCGAGGTAAGGTTGGAGACGTCAGGAATAGGCCCAGAGAAGCTATTAGACTGCAACCACAACAGCGACAGCTGATTCATGCCTCCAATAACGTCGATCCTCCCAGTGAGCTTCTCGCCAGACTGCTGGTTGTTGAGCCAGAGATTCTTGATGCTGGATCCGGTGAAAGAGAGTGGGATTCCTCCAGTCAAGTTGTTGTAACTAAGTCGGAGATCCTCGAGACCGGAGAGGACGCCAAAGAAATCGGGTATAGTCCCGGAGATGCTGGCATTGGAGGCAGAGAATTCGCGGAGGCTATCGGATTTGGAGAGGTCGTCGGGGATGGACCAGGGGGAGAAGGGGTTGTCATCCAAGGTGACTTCTTGAAGGCTGGTGAGGCCAGAGAAGAAGTCAGGAGGGAGGGAGCTGAAGGCGTTGGTATCGAGGTGGAGCTTCTGGAGGGAGCCCAAGTTGGAGAAGGAGGGAAGAAGGCCTGAGATCTGATTCCTCTGGAGGTTCACAGTCTGGAGAGAGCCGAGTTTGTTGATGGAGTCGGGTAGGTTACCGGATAGGGATTTCTGCGCAAGGTTGAGGGCGGTTACTTGGCCCCCTTGGCAAGCGATGCCGCTCCACTTGCAGAAATCGGTTCCAGACTTCCAGTCGGAGGGGACGTTGGTTAGGGATTTGGCCAGATCCGACATAACGTCGCCGTCTTTGGCAATTGCCGGGGAGATAATCAGCAGAAAAACAAAAGCGAATGGGTGAAAAGGGAAATGTTTTCTTTTCTCCTCCTCCTCCTCCTCCTCCTTCCCCATTGGGAATGAAAAATCAAATCCAATGGGAAAGGGTAAGGGAGAAGCCAGAGCAAGAAACGGAGACAGACACAGATTGAGAAGAAAGAGAGAAAAGGAAGGGAAAAGAGCCGAAATGGGAGGGGAAGAAGGACAGACAGACACAGATTGAGAAAAAGAAAAGATTTCACATGGCCATTTTGTCGGAGTAGCAGAACAGCCTGGTTACATTTCCATTCAGATTTGGGTTGGCACGAACTAAAGCAAAACCACAGCCATGCAGTTAGGACAAATTTTCAAAACCACCCCTTTTTGGATTTTATTTGCAAAAAACGACCTCTTTTGAAAATAATTACAAAAACCGATCTGTTTTCAGCCCAGAGCTGAAAACAGGTCGGTTTTTCTAAAAAAAATTCCGAAACATCACGGGAGTTCAACTCCCGTGAAGTTTATCGAGAAATTAAACTTCACGGGAGTTGAACTCCCGTGAAGTTTAATTCTGCTTAAAACTCCACGGGAGTTCAACTCCCGTGGAGTTACAGTCCAACATTCCCAGAGAGTCGATCTCTGGGAATTTTGGACTGCAACTTCACGGGAGTCGACTCTCTGGGAATGTTGGACTGTAACTCCACGGGAGTTGAACTCCCGTGGAGTTTTGGCTCCCCCTATAAAAGCCGGAGCTTAGATCTCAGTCAAATGATCCAAAAAAAGGTAAATTCTTCCTAAAAAAACTATACTCTCTAATTTTTGTATACTCTCACTATTTGATTGTGATTATATGTAAAAATCTAGATTTTAGAATTTAATTATGAATTATTTACGAATTTTGTGAAGAATTGTGAAAATTAGAGGGGAAATTATCAATAAATGTGAAAATTAGTGTGGAAATTATCAATAAATGTGAAAATTAGAGGGGAAATTATCAAAGGGGAAATTATCAATAATTTTGTGAAATTTGTGAAAAATTAGTGTGGAAATTATCAATAATTTTGTAAAATTAGAGGGGAAATTATCAATAATTTCGAAAATTATTGTATTAAGAGTTACTACCTAAATGTAAAAATTAGTAACAATCAATATTTATTTGGCTTTTCGTGTAATATTGATCTTGAATTTTTCACTTTTCAGAGGTAACGATGAACGATCGAATTTTAATTCTCTGTTCTTATGATGGGAAGATTAATTACCTCAAAAATAATATGCCCGTTTATGAAGAAGGCACGACGAGACCGTTGTTCATAACAAAATCGTGTACTTTCGATGAGTTGGTTAATGAATTACACAAACTTACATTAACTAACTCACGTGAGTATCACCTCAGTGTGGTTTGCAATTATCCTGTTGTAGGGAACAGAACAAGTGGCATTCAAATATCAAGTGACTACGATATGGGTCTCATTCATGTCTTATACGACGAGAAGCGTTTGGTCGAATTGTTCATTGAAAAACATCAGAGAGATTTGGGCAAATCGTTGAACTACGAAGGAATGTATTCCCACATGTTGGAGGATCCTGAAGTTGATTCTGTAGGCTTTTTATCTCCTCAACAAGATGAATGTTGGACACAATCACAATACATGAGCGGTCCTTCGTTCGTGGGCACTTCGCATGCTTTCGATACTAACATGGGAATTCAAGAAGATAATGCAAGTGTTGAATCCGAGAATGATGATGAAGAGGAGGGATTACAAATTAATAGCATGACATTGATAGATCGTGATGGCGGGGGAAACCAACACATCGACGGGGCATATGTTAATAATGAGTATGTCGGTTTAGAGGATCCGCCGCCCGATGAACTTCAAGGAGATGAATGGATTGATAACTCCGCGATGGAAAGTGTTCCTATTGGCACTAATAGCGGTGTTGATACACAGGCCGAGGACTTCTCATTCAAAAAGGGAGATCTTTACGAGAGTAAGGAGAAATTGATCCATGCTATTTGCACGTACTCCATTGCAAAAAATGTGAAGTTCAGGCTAACGAAAAATAATACTACAAGTTATAATGTGGTTTGTTTCTATCGCAAAGATGACGATGTCGAAGATAATAGTGGACACCACGACGGCAATGTGAGGTGTCCGTGGAAGCTTAATTCACGCTCGGGTGCAAGAGTAGGTGGGCAATTCAAAATCACGGCATACAATGGACTCCATACTTGTAGCAATCCTCGATTAGAGATGAATAACAAGAATGCGTCCTCTTATTTTATATATCGATTGATTTTACCTCATCTGAGGGAGGATCTTGATCTAAGGCCGAAAGATATTCGTCTTTTAGTGCATAAAGCCACCAACTTGGATGTATCATATCACAAGTGTTGGAATACTAGGAGGAAGGCGATGATAAAAATATTCGGGGATTGGGATAATTCGTATGAGATCTTACCTCATTATCTTGAAGCACTCAAAAGAGAAAATCCGGGGACTGTCTACGAAGTATCTTCGGACCCCGTTGATGGCGGAGAACGCCGGTTCACAGGTGTATTTTGGGCATTTGGGCCCTGTATTGAGGGGTTTCGATATTGCCGTCCTCTTCTTAGCATTGACGGAACTCACTTATATGGTAAATACAAAGGCGTTTTGCTTGTTGCAACCGGAGTTGATGCGGATGGCGGGTTATTTCCTTTAGCATTCGCAGTGGTTGATGTTGAAAACACAGAGAATTGGGCTTGGTTTTTTGCATGCATTAGATATCATATCCCTAGTGTGGGGACGCGGCCGATTACATTCATATCCGATAGGATGAAAGGAATTCCAAGAGCACTCCAACGACATTTCCCGCCACCACATGCACATCGCTATTGCTTGCGACATATTAGAGACAACTTCAAGAAGAAGTATGGAAACGCTCAGGTTCAAGACTTACTTTGGCAAGCCGGTTGTGCAACAGAAAAATATGTTTATGAACAAATACGAGAGAGGATCAAGTTCACTTCACGAGCTGCACATGATTGGATCGAAACTAGTTTGGGTCCAAACAATGTTGATAAGTGGGATTTATGTGAGGATGGCGACAAACGGTTCTGTATGATGACTACGAACGCGCCTGAGAGCTTCAATGGCGTGCTCAGGGGAGCACGCGGCATGCCAATACAGGCACTAGTTGCTAAAACTTTTTACAGGCTTAATAAATTCTTTCTTCGACGTCGAGAACTTGGTGAAAATATGCGCTCAGAGCTAACACCGAAGGTTGATGAAATGCTAGCGGCTCGGATTGTACAAGCTCGGTCCTTTCAGGTTGTACGATACAGTTTTAATGAATGGGAGGTGCTCAAGGGAATAACCCATAGAGAAAATCGCTCTTACAAAGTCAATATGTTGGTGGATCACACTTGTACGTGTACTTGCAATGTACCGCAACTACAATGGATTCCTTATTCACATGTTGTAGCAGCTTGCTCCGACCTACAGGGAGGCTGGGTCGGCGTCGGCGTCGGCGGTCGAAGGCTGGTGTAAAACCCCGAAATTTTATAATGAAATTGTGTGAATAAACAGTAATAAATCTTTCGGTTGTGAAAAATAACCATATATATATATGATGTACATATTTATCAGTGTTTGGGAACCCATCAGGTGTATATAAGTGAGAAAAATCGAGTGTTATGGCCAGCAGGTGAAATGCCTAGCAGCAGGCATTTTGTGCTGCGCGGTCGACCGACGCGGTCGACCGTGGCGGTCGACCGCATCGGTCGACCGAACAGCAATTAGAGGGTTTTCTCAGGTTCGGGTTCAAACGGGTTTCGGGTCAGGTTTGTGAGTTGGTATATTAACTATTTTGCCCGAGAGAGCCTCTCTCAGACCTGAGATCCAAAACCCTAACCCCCTTTCTCTCCCCTCTCAAAACCCTAGCTGGATCTGGTGATTTTTGGGAAGTTGAAGGAGTTGCAGTGGGAGTTTGCAGGTCAGATCGAAGGAGGATCATATTCAGGGCATTTGTCAGCACCTAAGGCACCCCTATTTTCTATGGTTTTATTTCGATTTTTCATGAGTTTTTGAAGAGCCCAAAAGGTATTTTCGTATAAAAATGAGTTCTTTACAACATGGATTGCAAGAATCGATATTTCAGTTTATGAAAGTTCACCAACGTTTTGTCTAATGAAGATCTAGATCTGAGATTTCTTAAACAAGAGTTTAATCATGTTTTACTGTCATTAAAACGTTCTAATTTGCTTCTCATGTATTTTGAAATATTAGGAATGTGGATTTCATGCTTGAGATTTGTTGTTTTTCTTGTAGAACTTTAGAACACTTGTTATCGTAGAAGTTTTTTTTAAAAACTTTGTTTCAGGTTTTGCGTTGACAGAAACCCAGATTGGGTTTCTGTCCGCTTGGCGGTCGACCGGTGCGGTCGACCG